ACACGAATGACCCAGCCTGGTGTCTGGTACACAATTTACTAGCCCTGGTTTCTGGTACACAAATGACCAGCATGGTGTCTGGTGCACAATTTACCAGCCCTGGTGTCTCTACACAATTTACCAGCCGTGGTGTGTGGTACACTATTTACTAGCCCTGGTGTATGGTACACAAATTACCAGCCGTGGTGTCTGATACACAATTTACCTGCCCTGGTGTCTCCTACACGATTTACAAGCCCTGGTGTATCATACACAATTTACCAGCCCTGGTGTATGGTATACAATTTACCAGCCCTGATGTCTGGTATACAATTCACCAGCCCTGGTGTCTGGTACGCAATTTACCAGCCCTGTGGTCTGGAACACAATTTACACAATTCACCAGCCATGGTGTCTGGTACACAATTTACCATCCCTGGTGTCTGGTACACAATTTACCAGCCCTAGTGTATGGTACTCGATTTACCAGCCTGGTGTATGGTACACAATTCACCAGCCCTGATGTCTGGTACACAATTTACCAGCCCTGGTGTATGGTACACAATTTACCAACCCTGTGGGAAGTCGTATTTTTGGACGTAATATTCTTTATAATACCAGCAGTCCAGCAATCAGACAAGACAAGTACTTTCAAGAGTAGAACACAAGTTGTTTATTCGTGAACATAACATAGAAGAGCACTGAAACAATTACAATGAATGCTTAAATACCCTCGTGGGGATTCTGAATTCGAGCGGGAAAACTAGATACAAATATACAATACTGTGATTGGTCAATACAAATATTGTGGTGTTGCCTCTCACGTTCGCTCATAGCACAGTGTTCAAGGTCGTATCCCGTTTTGTTACATTCAAGCTTTAGGCGGTACAAACGATGTATATAACAGTATAATAATATAACACGATACACAATATCAGTAAAAATAGTAAACAATAATTCTATCCATATCTATTTCCGACAAACCCTGATGTCTGATACACAATTTACCAACCCTGGTGTCTGGTACACAATTTACCATGGCCACCCCTAGTGTTTGGTACACAATTTACCAACCCTGGTGTCTGGTACACAATTTAGCAACCCCGGTGTCTGGTACACAATTTAGCAACCCCGGTGTCTAGTACACAATTTACCAACCCTGGTGTCTGATACACAATTCTCCAGCCCTGGTGTCTGGTAAACAATTTACCAGCCCTTGCGTCTGGTACACAATTTACCAGCCCTGGTGTATGTACACAATTTCGTGACATTTCAAGTAAAGTTTATAATATAGGATATGTGTATAGTCCTGATATTTATTTATAAACATTAATACATATCAATTTTATTTCTCAAAACTAAAACAAAATAACAATTGAGAATTCTACTCTCATTGTCAAGCAACACTTCCAAACTTTGATGGTATTATAGAGCTGTATAGCACAATTTCATTGTTTTGTCGAGGAATGTATTTTCGCTTCTTACCCGAACACATTTCTTAAATTGGCCATCGAGGGCGCAATTTAAATTGACCTCGAGAGTACCTCCTATCGCGCATGCCCAGTATTGCTGATGACACCTCGACGGTTGTGGGGCAAGTAGGAAGTTTTAGCACATATTGCACAAGCAAATAATGATATATCCTGCTTTATTTTGGTTGTGGTGATGTTTCAATGTATTGCGTCAGTTCACTGTATAATTCTGAGGGTGACAGACTTGTTTTCACGAAATCAGATATGTTATTCCGATTAGCAACAGTAGGAACAGAATCGACGCAGACGTGAGAATTCCGAACCTTAGTCGGACAAATAATAAGTAAGTAGATCTTAGCTTGCAACTGGAAAACTACCACGTTTTGAAATATCTCCTGTAAGAAATATTCTTTATTTCCTTTGCTCTTCACATCCAGGCATTTCACACTTGGAGCAGTTGGACAAATAAACCGCTTCACACGTCTGTGGTGTTCATGGGATTACCGTGAATTGTTGCTGCTTTTGTGGAGTTTAAAGTGAGGTGGTTTCTTATCTCCAGTCACATATTCTATGCTAGGAACTGTGCACAGAGTATCCTAGTTCTCTGAATTCAAGATGTGTGCTGCGATTGTGAACAATTTCCTGCCCAACTCACCAAGTCAGGAGAGTTTAAAATCTCCAGAAAGTGAGCACAATCTGTTTGCTCCGGACAATGACACTACACAATGTAATGGCGATCCAGATAGTCACTGCAGCGGCGTTGGTCTAAAGGTACGGTTTACTTCACGTTTTAATACAATACATTGTAGATTATTTGGATGTAGATACAAAATAGATAAGAAATGTAGTACATGTGTTCATAACCATTTCAGCGTATTGTGTATTATTTTAATTCAAACATATGCTCGTAGTAAGACCTACCATGATGGAAAACATGCACCTCTACTCACAACAAACATGTGTGTACTAGGGAGTTAAAGTTTAAAAAGCTCACATGATCAATGAAATAACCCTAGCAATAATAACAAACAGTGAACTACACTAAAAACATGAGAGATGGCATTGGTGTAGTTTAATGGTGTGTAATAGTCCTGTCTTAGAAATGCACTAAGTCATAAGCCATGGAGGTACATTGTAAATACATAATACTTTAGGATTTAACACCTTTTTGGGTTGTTTGGTTGGGGTAGGTTAGGGGTCTGTACATTTCAAGGGTTTTGGTTAATTTTGTCAAGGTTTTAGGTTTTAAAGATTGTTGAAATCATAATTATTCACCAGCATAGTAAAATGGTCTCCTTCTTTATATCAATACCAGCCTGCTAAATGCTGAATACTGAGCCTTGTAATGTGTTAACTACAACATGTAGTGTGTAACTGTTTATTGTCTGTATCCTGGTATGTTGTATGCTATAATACCTTCTGCAGTCTATTCGAAAGAAAAAACCTAACCACCCTGCCCATCACATCTTACTATACATGTATGTATATTCTAATCTAACAACTAATTTGCATGGGGAACAAAAGAGACGTTCATATTGTAACAAATAAATAAATAAAAAATTTAATGTAAACAACAATGATGTTCTATGATTGCTATGGTGCAGTTCCATAGAACTTTTTAGAGAGATCATGCCCTGTTCATATTTGGTTATCCTTTATGCCTGTGTTGATGTCTTATTGACAACAAGATTCTTTATTATCAATTTTAGTCTGGTGTGGTAACCATGGTTTCTCAAAATATTGGTTATGGCATGGTATAAAGACAAGTAACAAGTAATATGCTAGAGGTTTAGGTGGGGGCTCACTCACTAGACTCCTCAACCTAATTTTTGCCCTAATTCTTTTGATAACCAAATTTCTAATTTTTTTATTTAATACTAATTATTTTATGCATATTAGGTCACATGTCTAACATTTTATTGTTGAGAATATTAACAGTAACCTATTGGTAATATATTGCATCATAATCTCCAAGATAGACCTAGATCCAGCTAACATTGCCAGAACCAATCACAAACTAGATTGCACAATGCCTTGTCAAGATAGTTATATTGAAGACAAACTTTGAAAAGAATAGTTGTGTATTGCTAGTACATTGCATCATGAGGCGTAGTGTTTGCATTGTAAATACAATAAGCCTTATTCCGCTCACCGCGAGATCTCGCGTGTCCAAGCTTTACGTCCTTAGCAATCGGTCTTGATCACGTGACACAGGTCAAGCTTCCTCCTAGAGATGGTCAGTGGTAGTGCCATTGTTCACTCTGTTGTATTCCGTTCACACAACAATATCAACCGTACAAAAACGTTCCTACTGTGAATGCAAGAGCGATTCTCGAATTCATCTAAAGGATTACACAAATGGTGTTTTTTTTTTACACCGTACAGACGTTTCCCGAAAACAAAAACACAACCTGGTAAATATGATTGATGGATCAGTTTCTGTTCTCGTGCTGATGACTTTGGAAGACACTTGATCACGCAAAACACTTTCAGTACTCAACCACGTTAGCGCCCAGTGTCCTCACTGACTCAGAAAATCGAGGGGTGGGCGCATAAGTGTAGTTTATGCATGGTTACCGTGGTCCATGCATTCACAACGTAATAACGGTGGTCGATATTCATGCTGTATCATATAAAAGCGATTACCAGTATTCGTTAAGAATGATCAAAGACCAAGTTTTATGATTAGACAGTCAAATTAAAAGCATTTTGAAGGGGATGGGTGCTTCGCCCAGCATGCACTTTATTGGAGGCAATGTTCCAACATCATCACATCTAAACCAAATACCAGCCACTGCAAAAGGTGTAGAATTTGATGTTGAAACACCAAATTTATGTAGAAGGCTCTTGAGCCGTGGCACTGTGTGTTTGTCGGCATCATCCATCATATAAACGTAAAAAGAAAGATAAAACAAATGGAAATCAAGTATGGAAATACGCTCAACATTATGCAAGGACGCCATTTTAAAGCACAGCTTGACCTGTGTCATGTGGCTGACAACCGTTTTCAGGGTATCTTGCGAGATCTCGCAGTGAGCGGAGTATTCACTATTGTAAACAGTCAACTGTTGTGTTTTTGCATTAGCAGTGATATTGGTTATACACACATTGCTATCATATTCCATCATTACTGGTATGCAATGTGTAGTGATAGTGCCAATGTTTTTTTTTGTAATTTGTCAGAAAACAAAATACATGCAACTCCCCACATGAGCACAAATGTGTACTACTAACTATAATTCAAATACTGTAGTGCATATACAGTGTAAAGCTGCTGCATATTTCTCCACATTACCGGATTTGGCTGACACCCCCCACCCCCACCCCCCCAATGGGCGGTGTTTCAAATAGTGGGTGATGTTTTGGTTCACACATTGCCTGACTGAACTAACAAACACGCTAACAGACCCCAATTTTGCAGTCTGACATCTTGCATTCAGCGCGCTATTTCAAATATGACATTAAAATTAATTCACTTTCAAGTCACAACATGATGATGTTTGAGAAAACATGACACAAAAAAATTTTCTTTTGGGATACTCCTTCGTAGGATGTATTGGCCAGGACTGAGGTGAAAAGAACAGTTTGGTTGGAGTGGTAATAAAATTATAGTATATGTACAGGGTATTTATACAATGTTGACATCAAATGAAGAGTTTCGTAATATTGCCCGAATTTTATTTACCTGGGCTTTGGAATGAAATCACAAAGCGATCAAGAGAGACGCAGAGATCAACATAATGTAGAATATGATCGCATTATTTTGTGAATATACATCATGCATGGTTCCCAGAAAATGTTTAGATTAATATTTCGCATAGACCAAATATATTCATGCATAAGTATAAATTCAAAGTGTTTTAATACATTGGTGACAGGTCACATTTTACATGCAATAACGAGGAAGAGCAAGCCAAAATTGAAACAGGGTGTATCATGGACTTGGTACAACATACATGTACTTTGCAAAACTTGCTGCGTGGCGATACTGACATCAAGTGTGTGTTGGCCAAAGTTTGACCCCCAAGCCATGCGCGTTACCTTAGCAACCTTTTTTTAGCTCCGCTGTCGACTTTGTCGAGCGGAGCTTATCATATGAGTGATTGCCCGGCGTCGTCTGTGGTCAATGTTTTACTTTTCAACTCTTCTTGAAAACTACAAGCTGAATGTTTGATACTTGGTGTATATGTACCTGGGTAGACCTCTCTCAGATTTGTTCATTTCATGATGATATCTGAATTCTATTATTTTGGTGAATATTTTTGTCATTTTTAGTAAAAAGTGATATTTTTGACTTCTTGTTAAAAACTGCAAGTCCAATTGCTTTGATATTACATATATAGGTACTACATGTGGATCTCTCTCAGATTTGTTCATTTTGTAATGATATCTTAAATTCTCTAATTTTGGTGAACATTTTTGTCATTTTTGGTAAAAAATGATATTTTCGACTTCATGTTAAAAACCACAAGTCCAATTGCTTTGATATTACATATATAGGTACTACATGTGGACCACTCTCAAATTTGTTCATTTCAAGATATCTTAAATTCTCTAATTTTGATGAATATTTTTATCATTTTTGGTAAAAAGTGATATTTTCGACTTGTTAAAAACCACAATCATTTATGGTGAAAATTGATATTTTTGAATTCTTGTTGAAAACAGCAAGTCCCATTGCTTTGATACTGTACATATTGTTCATTTTCTAATGATATCTTCTGTTCTTTAATTGAAATGTGCATTGCTAACAGCGGAGCTATCTCAGCCGAGAGGCTGCTTATTTCTTGCTCCGTGCATCAATTTAGTAAAATTAATATATCCAACGATACTGTAATTACGCAACTCTACTGGCTTTGAATACTTATTTCAACATCGTTTACTTAGTGCACTGCTTTTCTAATTACTAGTACGCAAATTAGTTTACAATATTGTACTGGCTCTGAATATTTCAACATTTGTATTGCTTACATAATAAATACGCAAACTCAAGTTATTTTTAATATTGTTAGGGCAATGAACCGGGATATTGGGTCTGTGAATATTTCAATAATACCAACTTGATAATGCGCTGCATTTGTAATAATTACACAAATATAAACATGGGCACATTTAAATCACTAAGGCTCATGTCGTACAAAATTTCTCCAGTCATGATGAAAGCAAATAAAACTTCCTGACATCAAGCTCTTCATGGGCTTACGTCAAATCTGTGACTTTTTATCAATAATGGTTGTTGATGATTTCTTCATTTAATAGCTTAATTTTCAACATTGGAATAATCATGTTTTCCAAGTGTTTTATTTCTGACATTAGCAGTGTCGTGATAAGTTATTACATGTATGTGAGAAGCATACACATCCCCCAAATAAACTTTCTGACTTCCAGTGGTCATTGAAAAAACAGATTGGACAAGTGTCATAGAATTGTAGACAATTAAAAAAAGGAACAAATCCAGCATGGCAGTAACTATTTTGATCGTAGTAGTGTAATACAAATTTCGTTATCTCCCAGAACAATGTGGTGGCACCACCAAGCTGTTTATACATGTATCCTGGAGAGAACACTATACCAAATCTATACACAGTAAATAATGACGCTGATAAGTGATCATGGTTTAATCAAGGCTGATAATGGTTTGTAAGCTAGTGATATGTGGAAAGAATTGGTCTAAAAAGTTGTTAGCATTCCAATATAGAAAGCATTAGTATAGCTCCAATTACACAAAAATAAAACTGTGCAAATAATTTTCAGTTTTATAGTAGGACAGTAACCCTATTTTCACTATCATGGTAGTAATACAGTATAAATCGTTTTATTTTTCATAATGTGAACTATATCAGAGTTGTGTGAATGCTTGCTGTTTGTTTTCTCTAACCTTTTTATTATGTTCTATTTCTAAAGTATCTCTTAGTAAGTCCAGAAGAAGAGACCTATGAGTTTCTGCTGACTCAACTGAAACAAAGATTAGATGATGGACAGGGGGAAACTATCTACGTCATTGGAGAAGGAGGTTAGTATCCCATGATGCAACATTCTTCATCTCAACATATTCAGTTCTTTGTATTTTGCAAATAAAGTAATTCTTCCTTTAATTGGACCATCAACAAATATTTATTACCTTGCCTGTAATGATAATGAAGTAGTGAGGTGTAGTGGTGGTTACAATGTCTATCATTGTAGTCATCAGCATTGTTGTTGTTGAGGTTTATAGTGGTTACAATGTCTATCATTGTAGTCATCAG